TGATGAGTAGGCCTGAGTTTTAGTCCTAGGGCTGACATTAAATGACCTCATTCAAGCTGTGTGACTTTGGGTGGGTCATTTATCTTCTCTGGTCTCCTGTTTTCTCATTGGCACAATATAGGAGTTAAACTAAATAATATCAATAACAGTTCTATGTATCTGTATTCAATGATTTCTAAAATGATTCTTCATTAGATTACATTATTCTTTACAGTTCCTCCCCTAGTTATAAATATTTATGATGATCCATAGTTCATTAAATCATTTCCTTACTTAGAAATGTCAACTGCCAACTCTTTACTTTTTTTATAGTCCATCCATCCATCCATCCATCCATCCATCCATCCATCCATCCATCCCTTCATTTATTTAACAAGCATTTACTGCATGTTACTACATATTAGGTTATACGCTCAAAGACATGGGTCCAACACTCAAGAATATACCACTCTAGTGGAAGAGACAGATATTCATGCCATTGATAAATGAACCCATGAATACATATATAATGAATAACATTGACAAATACTATAAAGGACAAGTATAGATGGCTTAATGGCATATAATAGGGAGGTATGACCTTAATATGGGAGTAGGCAAGGGGACATCTTCCCTAGAGCAGCATCTTGAACTGAGAGCTGATGGATTAGTGGGAGTCATGTGGGCTGATTTGGGCCCTTCAGGCATGGAATGGCAGCAACAAGCTGGATGGTACTTGTGGCTGCCTTGTGGTAATGTGCCAGAGGGTTTACTCATCAACTTTTCCAAAACCCTTGGTGAAGATAATCATCATTATTCCCTGTGTTGACAAACACAAAAAGCAAAAATGCTAATTTAGATCCCAAAGAAAGTGCCTGCTGAACTTAGATTCCTCTATATCTCATCTTATGTAGCACTTCTCCTTCACTTTAACTTATACCTAGAGGGAGTTACTTGACATTTTTTTATTTATTTATTGAACAGGAGACTAAGGTTATATGCATGATTTCTATGGTCTCTTTGATATTAGGCATTTGATGTTTCTAGAAATACACCTGAGTTAGTGGGGAGGGTGAGAAGAGGCCATCAATCCATCAGCACTTGTGGCTATATTTAAAAAAAAAACAAAAATCAGCATGCATATGTAATATAAAAAATGTTATAGGAATTGTAGCTCTTGAAATGGAGGATGGATAGAGCCAAAATAGTTAATGCATTCAATGTAAAACAAACAAACAAACAAAACAAAACAAAACAAAACAAAAAAACTACAGTGAAGCGTTTTCTTGGCAGTTGAGGATTTTAAAGGCAAAGTAACTCATTTTGATCATAGGCTGGTTTCTCAGCTTCTCATCCTATGTGTTCTCCGATTATAATTCAGTGTAAAAGGAGAAATGAATGATAAATCCATTTCACTAAAAAAACACACAAAAGGTCATCCAAAAATATCAAGAAAAGGGCAACCCAGTAGAATCGGAGAAAGCAATGGGAGAGGCAAGCCTCCATGTGCCCTTGAGTGGCTTGTACATGCCTCAGGATCCCTTCCATCTTACACTGGTTCCTGTGGACCCCTCGAGCTCTTAAGCCATTTGGAGTAAGTGACACCAGAATTTCCAGGAACCTGACATCTGTCAGTCTGAATGCAAAGGTTAGATTCCAGCCAGCTCCTTCTAGAGAAGGAAAAAGGACAATAGCTATTTCTTAGCATGCATAATCAATGTTGCAGGGGTTGCTAGGCAACAGGCAGAAAGCTTCAAACATCCCTGGGTATCTCCAATGGAGGAAGAACAGCTCTGGCAGCCACTTCTCAAAGGTGACAGGCTGTGCAGACTCTGGAAGCTGTGACCAGTTTGTTTCATTCCTTAGAAAAATCCGTTTATTCTGGTCAGGACTGAACCATGGCTCATTAGATAGTCTTTGAGGTGTCCAATGGGCTCTCAGCCCTAAAAAATAGCAGGTCAGGCTGGCGAGAAGCAGCTCCAAGAAAGGTCCATGTGTTATTTCAATCCAGTTCATCTTGGAGTCTTTGGAAGATCTGACTTTTTCCTTGTATGGCTGCAGCCTCTGGATTCCAGAAGTTAAAACAAGCATCCTCTCGGAATGAATCGGAATGAATCCTATATTCATCCCAGCAAACAGAGGCAAAGCCTCTGATTTCAACAAATATGCACATTCAAGGTCAGAGATGAGACTTTTTAGTTGGAATGAATTTTCCAACTAAAGTTGGACTTTGAAGTTGGAATGAATTTTCAAGCTGTAGGCATGTTGTCCCTCTACTTGAGATAATAGTTTCATTTGAATTTCAAAAAGGATACTAGCAAAGTGAATGAGTCAGGATTTGATAAAGGGGCAAATCCATTTTGTTTTGTTTTATATAGCAGTATTGATGAAAGAGTAAACATTCTTCATAAGTCATTAATTTTTTGTTTGTTATTAATATATTTTATTGATTTTTTTACAGAGAGGAAGAGAGAGAGATAGAGAATTAGACACATCATTGAGAGAGAAACATCGATCAGCTGCCTCCTGCACAGCCCCTACTGGGGATGTGCCCGCAATCAAAGTACCTGCCCTTGACTGGAATCAAACCGCAGGCGATGCTCTATCCACTGAGCCAAACTGGTTAGGGCCATAGGTCATTAATTTGTAAACACTTATTTGGCAAAGCCAAGTAGTGTATGAGGTCAAGGTTCTGGGTTTGGGTCACAGGTAGAATTAGGACTCTGATGGGGATGGGAGATATGCCAGGTAGAAACATGCCATGGGCATGACAGCTGGCTACACTGCAGTCACTGGTTAATCTTTTCTCATTACTAGCCCAAGCCCTGATGTCCTATCTTAGCATGTGCTTTGGAGGAAATATATTATATGAGTTTAGGGTACCCTAGATTTAGCTATGCAACATCTCATCCTTAAGGACTTTGCAAGAAGTACTGAGAAGCAGGCACAGAATAAGGAATGATATGAAGATGAAAAGCAATACCAAATAATTTTGTGTTTCTGTCTCTATATTAGCTAAGCTCTCTCAGCTACTTGTCTACTGTCACCTAAGATTCTCTGATCTCCCAGGATTTTTTCACCTTCAAAGCCTCTAACCTTATGAGCCCATGAAGTGAATTCAGTCTGAAGGCCAGACTTAGCCCCCTTGTGGCTCCCAAATAAGAGTGGGAACCATGAGTCAGAACATAAACCCCACGTTCTTCAGTCCCCTTGTCTATCACACATGGCTGGGTCAGAATTAGATGTTCCCTAAGCTTCTTTCAGTTCTAACATTTGATCAGTGTATGAATCTATAAAAATAGAGGCACCTTTTGGTCTTATTTATCCAAAGGGAAAAAAAGATAGCAGAAGAAAGCAAAGACTGCAGATTTAATGCTGCCAAATGTTCTGAAAAATTTGTACTTAAAAAAATAACAAACTTTTTGAGTAAATGAGAGAAAAAAGGAATCAATCACAGCAACAGAGATTAAACATCCTAGTCACTGCAGGATTCTTACTTTACACCTTGACCCATTTAACCTCAGTTTTCCCCTCCCTTCCCCTTACCTCCCCTTCCCTCCCTTCCCACCTTTCCCTTCCCTCCCCTCTCCTCTCCTCTCCTCTCCTTTCTTCTCCTCCCCTCCCCTCCCCTCCCCTCCGGTCTCCTCCCCTCCCCTCTCCTCTCCTCTCCTCTCCTTCTCTCTCCTCTTCTCTCCTTCCTACTGTCTCAACAATCCCATTTGCCTTTCTTAGTGAGATAATATTTACTCAATATCTATTACATTTTTCATCCTTAGAAAGGTCTGACTTTTATTTACCCCACTGTGCAGGTTTAAGGAGCCTTTCCTGAGAGTCTAGGAGTGCTGATGCTACTAAGGTTACTTACTTTTGATGATGAGAAAAGCAAACCCACAGTTTGCATTTTGATGGACTTTAACAGAAACAGTGTTTAGTCTGCAGGATGGGTAAGTTCAAGAATAATTTCCTCTCTCCTCATTTACCCATTACATTTATGCTGAATCATTTTAATGCTAAGTATAACAGTAATGGAATATGCATTTGATTTTTTAAAAATCAAATTGACCTTCTATAACTAGTAAACAAATGCCATTTGTATAAATATTCTGAATTTGGCATTAACAAAGAAACAAAAAAACAAAATTCAATCATCTTATATTAAGCTAAAGAATTGCATTTTATTACATTAGCCATGTCCATATTCATTTGCACTTAATTTAGTTTATAAATAGATGCCTCTTTTAAATGTTTTACAAATGTTATTCAATACCATGGTGGTGTTTTGTTTTGTTTTTCACTAGTATTTTGACAATGCATATGTAAAGGATTTACAGATTCTTTGTGTTATTTTTATTATTTCTTGTGTTTTCCAGAGCTCAGTGGAAATTTTATCCCCTTCAGTAATGTTTACTTACTGAAGACCAGATCTCCTTTCTGAGTTTCTGAGAAAATGGCTATGATAAAGGACTTTTGGGCTTCTTTATTTTAGTAAAACCTGTATCTGCCAGGGTGGCAGAATCCACCAGAAATGCCAACCACCCCAGGATAAAGTCACACATGTACTACATAAAACCCTGGGGCCTGGGGAACAGTTGGGAGGGATGAAGTATAACAGAAGATGTCAGTGGAGCAGAGGCTGAGAAAGGGAGTGAACTTCATAGTCTCCCTTCCAGAACCTCAATGTGAAAACATGTGTAGCTGAGCTGGGCACAAGCGCCAAGCAATCAGGGGAGGGGGGTGGCAGGCTGAGTCTTCAAGCCTTAGCTGGTTGATTTCTGTCTGAAATTTAGTTATAATTGACTTGAAAGAGTAGCTCAGAGCTAGTTACAGCCTTTTTAGGTGCCCCTAAAAAGTACCTAGGACATTTGGATGTGCCCCAAATACCCTTCCCACTATACATTTAGTTAAAAGAGTTTGATCACATCCTTCATAGCAGACATTATTTGCTCCTGAATTGGCCCTAAAATAAAAAATACACATTACTGAGACCATGGATAACAAGACATTCTGGAGTGTTCTCTTACCTTCACAGCCACCAAGATCTTGTCTTGCTCAGGACAGAGGTTATAGCATTCAGCTAGGAACACTTTTCCAAAGGCCCCTTCGCCTAGCTCCCTTTTCAGAACAATGTTATGCCGCTTGATGTGCTGAACAACTGTAAAACAAAGACAGAATGGAAACTGGAATCAAAGCACACAGAGGGGAGGCAGAGGGTGGGGAGTCTCAGGGCCCATGTCCGGGCACTTCTCTGCACAAAGCAAAGCAGAGGAGAAGCCCAATGTCCACCCTCACAGTTGGCTTGTTCTCCAGAGCTCATTTATTGTCCTTGATAGAAGTAAAGTAGGGATGTAACTGTTGGCTGCAGAAGGTCATTAATGGACTATATTGGCTAGGAAAGGGGAGAAATGAGAAAGAAACGCACCTTAATGGCAGGCCTCTTTCTTACAAGCCAGATGCTTTGCATCTATTTGTCAGTCTCATGTCTAGTGGGGAAAGGGATTTGTGTCAATCATGCTCTCTCTAGGTTGGCTACTAATGATATATCCTTTGCCCGGTTTTGAACCTACAGAAATGGAATCATACTATATGTATTCTTCTATATCTTGCATCATTCATTCAACAGTGTCTTTCAGATTAAGTTTTATTGAGTTACAGTGGGTAGTAGTGATTATATTGCTTTTACTGCTTTATAATATTCTGTGGGAAGACTATACTGCCATTTGTTTATCCAGTCTATGTTGATGAAGATGCTACAGAGTTTCTTTTTAGATAAGACTTGATATAAAATGCAAGTGGTGATTAAGGTTTTACTTTAATAGGATTTTCCCTCAGTAACTCATGTGCTTTGAAGCAATGATGGTTTCCACAGGCCTCTGGGAACTCAGGGTGATAAAAATCAAAAGGTCTTTTATGAGCAACAATATTAATGAGTATAGGAATGTATATTAATATCTCAGGCTCTGGTAGCAACGCCTGGTTTGGAGAGGAGAGAAATGTGTTCATTAGGTAGAGTGCTCATATAAAGAGATAAATGTAATTCTTGCAGAAAATTAGCTGCCCTATTTAAATCTAATATTTAACTCCAGGGTTGTCACATGTTCACTGGGAATTAAATAGCCACTTGATTTACTTTACACTCTAACCAGATCAAGGCAAGTATTTAACTTTTCTCCCATTTAATTTACATTTTCTTTTTTAAAACATTTTCCAAGGAGGAGAAAAAGTTGGTAGGAAATGAGTTTATAGAGCTATAGCAAAAGACAAAATTTCATCATCTCCAAAAGTAAAATTGATGAGACCTGTTTTCCCATGTTGACCTTGAAAGCAGTAAATGCATCTTTTCTTTCAGAAATGGCTAGTTTGTATTAATTTCTTTTGTTGACTTGGAAAATAATAGGTTATGTGAATGGTGGCCTTTTGCCAATGTATTCCCCTGAAGCAGAGTTAATCTCTTTTATAAAACCGATAGCCCAGGGGCACACGTAACAATTTTGTGTTTGTATCTGCATTCCTGACAGTGTGTCACAGTACTTTGCACACAGTTGGTGCTGTAAAATATTTGTTGAAAAATGTGCTGAATCATAATAAACAGCAGGCAAACACTGTATAATCACATTATCTCAGTCAATTGACAACCCTATTGAGTACTAAAGCAATAAAGAAGCCCAATTCTCTGAGATGTCAGCAGCAGGGAGAACAACTAACTTGAGCTAAGAATTTCTTCCCATTCTCCTCAAAAGAGCATCAGTATTCATCCCCACCTGCCTCCTTCCTGTTTCCTGAAATAACCATGGAGTCCTTGGTACCCTCTTGGGGGATCACTTCTTAACCAACTTCTCATTCCAGCTTTGCTCATAAATGTCCCAGGCTGAGTCAATGCTCACCCTTTTATCTCCCTCATAGACCCTTCCTTGGAGCCTTGTGAGATGGCTACCTATCATCCATGAGCTCTCCTTAAATTTTCCTCTACCGCCTTGACTCAACCGAAACCTTGGCTATGCCCTGAGGACATCCATGCCTTTCCCCTGCAGCCTGAAATGCAAGCCACTCCCACCCCCCACTTGCTGGTACTTCAGGCCCTTGTGTGTGATTTCTGGCCATTACTCTTTCTCACTCTCCTGCTAGAAAGAAGTTTGCAGAGCTATGGCTAAAGACAAAATTTTCTCAAGCATCTAGCTATCTATCTTAGGAAGTGAGCAGCCTATACCACCTCTGCCTCTCACTGCTGACATCTTGGTTCCTCCTCTCACACTCTGAGTTCCTGGCTGACACATTTCTTTTCCACCCCATCGGTGTCATCATTCTCAGGGGACAGGGCAGAGAATGGTTCAGTCACTTGCCTAATCTGTAGAAACACTGGGCCACCATTTTTCTGCAGTTCAGAAGTGAAGCTCTGCAGGAGTTTGTTTGGTTGAGTGCATGGCATTAAGGTGACTTTTCTTAGGAGCAAGACTTTCTTAATATAGGAAGCAATGCTCTGATTCTGGACAAACTCCTTATCTCATTGTTGACTAGCATTTTGAATATCACTGCCTTAAAGAGCCCTATGAACATTTGGATTCATTTATACAAAATATCCTGAGGGAGGTGATTCTAAGGACTCTATAACAAATAAAACATCAGGTAAGTATGTCAATTCTTTATACACTTCCTTTCAGATGTCAGTCAATTCTCTTCTGAATCTTGGAGACCTGATTAAAATCACATCAAAGCCAACATCAATAACTAATAAAAAATAAATAAATGCCCAAACTCCAGCATGAATAGATTCCTATATTTGAAGGGAAAAAATGATTAAAAAAAAAAGCTTTATCAATAAAGTTTACTTTTTCACCTTGCCAAAAGAAAAAGGGACATCAATAAGAGGTATATGTGATGTAGGAAATATACTACAAAACTCATGTGGTCTGCAGACTGATCTATATACATCAATATAGTCAAAACAAAGCATGTGATTAGATTATTGTGCAAATAAATCTGCCCTGTAGACTCAGGGTGAAACTGATGACTAGCAACAAGAATCAAGATGAGTGGCCTCAAACTGTCTAGCCATCTTTGTCATTAATGGAATTTTCCAGAGTGAAATTTGGTGCCCTTGGTCATTTACTTCATGTGGACCAGAGCTGAGTAGATTTCTGGTTCTGTATTAGCATTACATAACAGCAGCAGAAAAATGCATTTTGTCATAAAGTAGCTTCCGTAGTTTACAGGGATACTAGCAGTTTCAAGTGGTCAAAATCGAATTCCTGGTATTGATATCACCCAGAAGTAAATATTATGTAGTACATAATAGGCTATAGATAAAGTATTAATTCGTGTATATAACCATTATCACTGAACCTAAAAATAAATAATAAATAAATAAATAAGCCCCTGTCCACTCAGGGTTGAAATAAGAAATGTATTCTTCCCGTTTTTCCCAGAAATGAGGTTTCATAGAAAACCTTGGCCCAGTCGACATGTCCTGCTCAGCACATGGACCTTGAATTGAGACACTTGAGTTTTTCATATATGCCAGCTACTAAACGATCTACCTCTCAAAAGAAAGTATTTTAAAGTTTTTAACAGGATGGTAAAAAGTACTATGGATTCATAAGGTAATATTCTGTATCAGGAGGAATCTCTCTTCTTCTCTACAGATCTAACTGAAGGGCCAGTTGCCGCTGTGGTTCTCTCTCAGAGGGCTGGGTGTTGTGATGGAAGGAGAATGTGAAGATCTGTGAAGCTGATTCCCTCCTGTTTGACAGTTGACCAGTGGGACTTGGGGTAGGATAGTGACTTCCCCAGGGCCACACAGCTAGAAGGAGGCCCAACTAGGACTCAGGTGTCCTGACTTGTACTCTGTATGTAGTAGCACGGCCCATTTGAGACTAAAGGCAGTGCGCGTTTCCTGAGATTAAAATGGAACAGGTGTTTCATTTAGTTAATTATCTTTTCTAGTAGAAATGTTTCAAACATTCACATTTATCATCTGAAATGGGCCACACATCTTATAATAAAGAATTTCATTAAAAAACAGCAAATAAGCATAAAATATGAATGAGAAAAGCAGGATATAAAAGTTAAATACCTTAGAAAGTGCTTAAGCTTGATCTGAATACAATTAATAAAAATTATTTTTATCTATCTTGACGTCTGTTTCATGGGTAGCATATTGAAACAGGTAAAACTATCGACTTTGTAAAAATGGACTTGCATAAAAGATGGAAACTATGTTTTTCAACTTCCTCTACGTTTTTATTAAGATACAAGTTGGTATTAAAATGAAATAAATGCAATTAAGACCACAGACATAAAATGGACCAGGATAAGACATGGCCAAATATTCATAAATAATATTAATGATGAAATAAAATGTAATAATACTGAGCCATTCTTATGCACTTTTCAGAAAAAAATTCCCAATGTGCATTATCATCAATTAATTTTCATATCCTTCTGAATGAGGTCAATAGTCACATTTATTTTACAGATGACACCACAATTAATTGACTTACTTGTGGTCATAGAGTCATCCACTTATCCATTTCCAAGTGTTATTTCTAATGAAATGAGAGGGATATAAGTGGGGGCCTACCAGTGCTGATTGCTATTATGAGCCAGAAAATGTGTTGAGAGATTTACAGGGGTTATCAATCTTCATTGCAATCTAGTAGGGATCCGTATCTCCATTTTTTTTTAAATTAAAGTAAAAAGAAGAGGATCAGCTGAGCTGACTAACTCATCCAAGTTTGTACCATTGGTAACAGGCAGAGTCTGTTAAAATAGATCCTAATTTATTGAAATTCTTCCAAAAAAAAAAAAAAATCAAGAAACTCACAACGTAATAGGGCAGGAAAAAAATATGTATACCTGTAACACCTTACACCTTTGCTTCCTTCATAAAAGATTTTATGTAACCAGGCAAGGAAAAACAAAATTTAAATAAGAACTCATCAGGGCAAGTGGAAAGGAAGAAGAAGGCAAGGTGTTCAATAGAAATGCAAACATGCAAACTCAGGGTCCCACAGGGTTATTAAAATTAATTCATAATTTGACCCCGAGCTTCCTGGTATCAGAAGCCAAAACAAAAACATAATAATTCACAAAAATTTTACTACTCAAAGTACAGACATTCCTTGTGGTAAGATTCTTCTTAGCATTTCATTTTCCAAG